TAGACATGCAAAGTTGAGGAAACTAGTGGCCAATAAACATATTAGTCTGCTATTGCTCTACAGCAAATTACCACAAATTTAGTGGCTTAAACCACACACATTTATTATTTCAGTTTTATAGGTTAGAAATCTGCTCAAAGTCTTACAAAACTGAAATCAAGGTATTGAACAGCTGTGCTTTCACCTGGAGATTGGAATTCTCTTCCTAGCTAACTCCCGTTTTTGGCAGAATTCATTTCCTTGCAGAATTATGCATTCTTCTTTACTTAAGGATGAAGTCCCCATTTTCTTGATAACTGTTGACCCCAAGCCACTCTTACCTCCTAGAGGCTGGTCTCTGGTCCTTGGCCTATGCTCCCTTCAATTCAGCCAGGGAGAACCTCTTTTATGTCAAATTCGTCTCATACTTATATCTTTAACTTTTATTTTACAACCAGTCTGAGAAAATTCTTTGCTTTTAAAGGGCTTATATGAGTAGTTTAGGCCCTCCTAGGTAATCTTCCCATCCTAAGGTCAACTGATTAGTAGCTGTAAGTACTTCCATAAAACCCCTCTTAGCCAGGCTCGGTGGCTCAACCTGTAATCCCGTGCCTTTGGGAGGCTGAGGTGAGTGGATTGCCTGAGCCCGCGGGTTCGAGACCCGCCTGGGCAGCGAGACCTCATCTCTACAGTAAATCAAAAAATCAGCCGGGCGTGGTAGCGCATGCCTGTAATTCCGGCTACTTGGAAGGCTGAGGCGGAAGGATCGCCGGAGCCCAGCAGGTCGAGGTTGCGGTGGCCGAGAGCAGCTACTGCACTCCAGTCTGGGCGACAGAGTGAGACTCCAACTCAGAAAAAAACCCCTCTTATCAGGTACTGTAAAATAATCATGGGCACAAGACCAGGCAAGCCATCTTAGAATGTGTATCCCACATACTGTATGCAAAAATGTTAACCTCATTAGCAATCAGGGATCCCTATGAGAAGACTGTATTGAGATATCATTTTATATCCACTAGATGGTCAGACATTAGGAAATCTGATAATATACACTGTTAGTGGAGATATAGATGAGCAAGATTCTTACACACTGTTGATGGGAGTGTAAGTTGACACAATTATGTTATGAGACAATTCAGCATTATGCGGTAACGTAGAAGGTGCTCACGCTGTATCACTGAGGAATTTTGAGTATATTTCTTTTTCTTTCTTTTTTTTTTAGAGACAGGGTCTCACTCTGTTGCTCAGACTGGAGTGCAGTGGCGTGATCATAGCTCACTGCAACCTCCAACTCCTGGGCTCAAGCGATCCTCTCACCTCAGTCTCCTGAATGAGTAGCTAGGACTATAGGCATGTGCCATCACTTCCAGCTAATTTTGTTTTATTTATTTGTTTTTTTGTACGGATGAGATCTTGCTATGTTGCCCAGGCTGGTGTGGAACTCCCAGGCTCAAACAATTCTCCTGCCTTGACCTCCCAAAGTTCTGGGATTACAGGTGTGAACCACTGTGCCTGGTTGAATTATTATTATTATTTTTCCTTTCTTGGTTGGAGTCTCACAATGTTGTCCAGGCTGGAGTGCAGTGCCATGATCACAGATGACAACAGCCTCGACCTCCTGGTGTGTGCTACCACACTTGGCTAATTTTTATATTTTTTTTGTAGAAATGAGGTCTTACTATGTTGCTCAGCCTGATCTTGAATTCCTGGGCTCAAGCAATCCTCCCACCTTGGCCTCCCAAAGTGCTGGGATTATAAGCATGAGCCATTGCTTCTGGCATAAGTTCTGAGTATATTCTAGAGAAATTCTGACACATACACGTTAGGAGACATGAACAAGACTGTTCATAGAACTGTTGTTTTTAATCATCAAAAATCTGGAACCAATATTCATTGACAGAGAAAAGAATAAATAAATTACGGTACAGTCTAATGTGGAACATAGCAGTGAAAATGAATTACAACTACTCATGAAAATGTCAATAAATTTTAGGAATATAATCTTAAAAATAGAAAAAATCAAACTGTAGTATAGTACTATTTTAAAAAATTATTGGCTGAGATGAGTGGATTGCCTGAGCCTGCGAGTTCGAGATCTGCCTGGGCAACTTGGTGAGACCTCATCTCTACAACAAATCAAAAAATCAGCCTGGCCTTTGGGAGGCTGAGGTGAGTGGATTGCCTGAGCCCGCGGGTTCGAGACCCGCCTGGGCAGCGAGACCTCATCTCTACAATAAATCAAAAAATCAGCCGGGCGTGGTAGCGCATGCCTGTAATTCCAGCTACTTGGAAGGCTGAGGTGGAAGGATCGCCGGAGCCCAGCAGGCGAGATTGTGGTGGCCGGGAGCGGCCACTGCACTCCAGTCTGGGCGACAGAGTGAGACTCCAAATCAAAAAAAAAAAAAAAAAAATCAGCCTGACGTGGTAGCGCATGCCTGTAATTCTGACTACTCGGAAGACTGAGGTGAAAGGATTGCCGGAGCCCAGCAGGTCGAGGCTGCAGTGGCCAGGAGTGGCCACTGCACTCCAGTCTGGGCAACAGAGTGAGACTCCAACTCAAAAAAAAAAAAATTATTGCAATAGAACATAGATACCTCAAAGAATATATCAAATGTGTGTAGTTGATGAATTTTTATAAAGTGAATATACCCATGTAAGCATTGCCCACATCAAGAAAGAAAACTTTATTAGCAAATAGTGTGCAATTATAGCTAAAAAATCAAGAAAATGAAACTTTTATATAGTGATAGCTACATTTATGATAGAATCAGGTTTTTTTTTCTAAAGCAAGAGAATGAAAAACACAAAATTCAGATTAGTGTTCACTTGTTGGGTGTTGGGGATTGGGTATTTACCAAGAATGTTGCTTATACAGTGGTATAAACAACATTATTTATCATTTCTAGTTATTAAGTTGGATGGTGGATTTATTGGTTTCATTTTATTATGCATACTTTTTTATATGGAGGGTGCCAAAAAAATCTATACACATTTTAAGAAAGGAGAAGAAACTGTGTTAAAATTGTAATTTAAACAACATTTGCTGATAGTAAAAGATGAATATAAGTTACACTTGGCTTATGCAATTATAAGAGGTGCTCAAAGTGGTTACCATCAGCATCCAGAGACTTCTGATTATGACTGACTAAAAGTAATACATAGAGAACATCTCTTAAAATATGTATACATTTTTTTGGCACCCCAGTATATTTACATGTATTGTTTTGTATATATCAAATATTTTCTAATTAGATATTATTTTAAAGAAAAATAAGAATAAGGTTCTAAAGAAAGATGAATTTGATTACAGAAGATATTTCAGGTAAAAGCCACAACTTGAGCTAAGGTTGTAAGTAGAATGAGTAAGACACATATGGGAAATAAGTCTGATTTAGAGAGCTTAAAGTGTGAGTTAAAGCTCATGCCTGTACCCAGCACTTTGGGAGACTGAAGTGGGAGGATTGCTTAAGGCCAGGAATTTGAGACAAGTCTGGACAACATAGTGAGATCTCGTCTCTACAAAAAAAAAACTTAGTGTTGTGGCATGCACTTGTAGTCTTAGCTATCTGGGAAGCTGGATGTGGGGGAAATTACTGTGCCCAAGAGTTTGAGGCTACAGTGAGTGCCACTTGAGCCTAGGTGACAGAGTGAAAGCCTGTTTCCAAAAAAAAAAAAAAAAAAAAAAAAAGCTGGGCATGGTGACACAAGCCTATAATCCCAGCATGTTGGGAGGCCGAGGTGAGAGGATTGCCTGAGTCCAGGGTTTTGAGACCAGCCTGGGCAACTTGGTGAAACCTCATCTCTACAATATATTAAAAAAAAAAAAAATAGCTGGGCATGGTAGCGTGTGTCTGTATTTCCGGCTACCTGGAAGGCTGAGGCGGAAGGATTGCTTGAGCCCAGCAGATTGATGCTGGGGTAGCCGTGAGCGTGTCACTGTCCTCCAGCCTAGGTGATGGTGTGAGAATCCAACTCAAAAAAAAAAAAAAAAAAGATATAATGGCATAAGTTCTGTCCTCAATATGCCTACAGACTGATAGAAAAGACTACATACAAACAAATGAAATAATATATATTAATAAAATACTTTAAATATAATTGTTATAGAAACAAAGTAGGAATTGCTGTAGGTTTACGCTGGTAGAAGAAAAGTGAAGATTATTAGAAAATAGATATAGAAATTGAAGGAGATATAAGTTAATAAAGCTAAAATAATTTTAAAAAGGTAGACTTGGCCCACATCATGAGGAATTCTAGGTGCAGATGCTATTCTAGGATAAAAATTACTTGGGGTAAGTCACGTTAAGTTTTTGAAATATTCAATTAGAAAGGTGTTCACACAAGAAAATTAGTATTTAAAATAGAGTCTAGAGCTGGGCATGGTTGTGTACCTGTAGTCCTAGCTGCTTGGGAGGTTATGGTAGGAAGATCACTTGAGGTAGGAGTTCAAGGTTATAGTGCAGGATGGTCTTGCCTGTGAGTAGCTACTGCGCTTTGTCCTATATAACATAGTAAGACCCCATATCTTAAAAAAAAAAAGTCTAGCAAATAAAGAACTACAAATGAATGCTTCTTATGAAGTGAATACTACAGTACCAGTATGAATAAAACTAAATATTTGATTTTGTGTTGAAAGGAATATGAGATTAGTGAATGACATTCGAAGAATTTTGAGTTAGGCCTCAGTTTAACCTGCTTTGCCCTTTGATATCCAGGTGTCCTTGGGCAAGTAATGGAAACTCTGAGTTTCTGTAGAAATGAACATAGTATTGTTGCAAAGGCTAAATGAGGATATAGAAAGCCCATGGCTTAGTGCTCCGTATATGTTAAGTATTCAGTAGATATTTTAAATGATAACTTTGTAAGCTCTTTGTTTTTCAAATAGATTTAAGATTTCCTGTGATTAAGAAAAAACTTTATCACGTTATCTGATAAAATACAAATCAGAGTATTTCCTCATGCCTAGTACTTATTAAGTATATTCTCTTTTCTACTTATTATTGCTTTTGTTTTTATTACAGATCAATGTCAGAGTAACTACGATGGATGCTGAGCTGGAGTTTGCCATCCAGCCCAATACAACTGGCAAACAGCTTTTTGACCAGGTATCATTTAACCACATGAAGTATGCAGTTTTTGGCACTGTGATGTGGATTTGATTACATACTTCTTCCTATGTTTTGCAATACCTTTATTGATAATCCAATAATGTAACACTTGGCATTTTTATAGTACCTATTCATATATCTTGCAGTAGAAATAGTCTTTATTCTTTCCCATTCCTACATTTGTGGCAGAGGACTTTTATCAGTAGGTATTAATTTAACATCTGTGAAAATCATTGTGTTAGTGACTAAAAGGGATTCAGGGATAGTTAATATAGTCCTTGAGCAGAATGAGCAAGAAATCCTGGACAGAGAAGACAGCAGGAGCCAAGGCATAAGGAATTACAGCTTGAGTATCCCTTATCTAAAATGCATGGGACCAGAAGTGTTGTGGACTTCAGATTTTGGAATATTTCATACACATAATGAGATATCTTGGAGATAGAGATCTCGCTCTCTCTCTTTTTTTTTTTTTGAGTCAGTCTTACTCTGTTGCTCAGAATGGAATGCAGTGGCATGATTACAGCTATTGCAGCCTCGGCTTGCTGGGCTCAGGTGATCCTTCTGTCTCAGCCTCTCAAGTAGCCGGGACTGTAGGCACGTGCCACCATACCCAGCTCTTTTTTATATATTGTAGAGACGAGGTCTCACTGTGCACCGTGTTGCCCAGGCTGATCTCAAACTCCTGAGCTCAGACAGTCCTTTTGTCTTGTCCTCCCAAAGAGCCACTGCTCCTGGCCTGGACCCAAGTCTACACACAAAATTTACTCATGCTTCATATATACCTTATACACATAGCCTGAAGGTGACTTTATAAAATATTTAAAATTTTACGCATTAAACAAAGTTTAGTTTGATTTTTGATTGCAACTCGTCCCATGAAGTCAGATGTAGAATTTTCTACTTTAGCATCATGTTGGTATTCAAAGCGTTTTGGATTTTGTAGCATTTTGGATTTTAGATTTTTGGATTAGGGATGCTCAGCCATAGAGGCTGTAGGGTGATAGCTAACAGCAGTTTGGTGTCTTAGATTCATAATGTATGAGGCAGAGGTTAGGACATAGAAGTCGAGTGTTTCACGTTAAGGAGCTTGGACTACTAGTCTTGTTTTTTTTGAGTCAGAGTCTCACTCTGTCGTGCAGGCTGGAGTGCAGTGGCATACTCATGGCTACCACAACTTTAACCTGCTAGACTCAGGTGATCCTTCTGCCTCAGCCTTTCAAGTAGCTGGAACTATAGGTGCCAGCCACCATGCCCAACTCGTTTTTTATTTATTGTAGAGACGTGGTCTCACCAAGTTGCCCAATCTGGTCTTGAATCCCAGGGCTCAGGCAATCCTCTCACCTTCACCTCCCAAAGTACTGGGATTACAGGCACCAGCCACTGTGCCTGGCTTTTTTTCTCAGTCGTGAGTGCACATTAGAGTCATTTGTGGAGCTTAAGAGAAAAAGTCACTGCTTGGAAACACCTTCCAGAGATTCTGATTTAGTTGTCTGGGCCTACCTAAACCATCAGTACTGTATTTTAAAATTTAAGCTCTCTAAGTGATGCTGAATTGTAATGTTACAAGTAATCAGGTTTTACTGAGAAAAGGAAGTCATGTAGGAGGTAAAGAGATGACTGCAAAGAGAGAGAAGGGATTAGACCTACCTGGCATGAGGCTCAGGGGAGGATCATTTCACATAAACTTTACATAAACTTTTATTTAGGAGCAATTAATCTTAACAAATGAGAGTTTCCGGTGTTACAGCAATAGCATTAGATATCTTGGTTTTATTCTGTCACATACTGATTCAAATCTGGTGGAATTTTGAAATTCTGGAAAGTTGTTTCTTCTCTTAGCAAGTAGTATACTTAGTCTTCTAATTAAGTAAGTAATGAACTTTAAACTAAACCCTGATAAGATCCTTTCAGAAGATGAAAGGCTTTGTGTATATGTGAATGAGCAAATTTTTAAAGCAAAATTATAAGCAGCTAAATGCCTATACTTTGTGAACTAATATCTACTTCCATTGAATCTTCTAGGCCTCTTGTTTGTAAATATATAGTCTATCTTACCTGAATAAAAATGTGAATAGAGTTAACATTCATTGTGCTTTATAGCAAACTGAAATATCATTCATAGTAAGCCAAAAAGTAATCAGCAAGTGAAACTTTTTGGTATTAGAAAAGGAGAAAAAACAATTGTTTTTTATTGAGTAGAATTTTTTTATTTGGATATCAGAAAAATGAAATCTAATTTATTAAATATTTTAATATGTTTCACCCTAGCAGATCTTCTTGCACACACCTTGGGATATGAATCCTCCTCTCTGCTTTAATCCCCCAAGCAGGAGCTGGAAGAGGAGACTCATCAAGAAAGAGGCAGCAGGAAGCTGCCTCTTTTTAAAATTTTTTTAATTTTAATTTTTAAACTTTTTATTTTAATTTTTTATTTTAATTTTTACTTTTTCCTGTATCACTGCATGAAAGCAGAAACCTCATTTATTACCTCTCAGTCATGTACAGTGGTTTACAACTGTAGGCTCTGGGACCACACTGCCTGCAGTAGCCCTAGCTGTAGCTGTTTGACTTTGGACAAATTGATTTCTTTGCCTTATTTTTCTCATTTATACAGTTAGGATGATAGCATTACTTCTTCAGAGGGTTGTTGTTTAAATGAAAATCTACATAAAGTGCATAGAGCAGTATTTCATACATCTCTCTCTTTGTGTCTATACACGGTTAAGTGTCACATAACGATGTTTTGGTCAACAAAAGGCCACATACGCAGTGGTGGTCCCATAAATTTATAATATCATCTTTTTACTGTACCTTTTCTGCTTAGATATGTAAATACCATTGTTACAGTTGTCTACAGGATTCAATATAGTAACATATTGTCCAGGTTTGTAGTGTAGGAGCAATAAGCTATACCTTATAGCCTAGGTATGTAGTAGACTGTACCATCTAGGTCTGTGTAAGTACACTCTATGATGTTTGTATGATGCTACAGTTGCCTGAAATGCATTTCTCAAAGTATCCCTGTCAGTAAGCAATGCAGGACTGTGTTATATGCACACACATACAACTCATATTGTAAATGAAAGTGTAGGTTATTGAGTATTGTTTTCTGTTATGAGCTCCTCTTAGCAAGTCTTTAGTTGCTGTTCTGTTTGCTGATGATTTCCTTTGCGCTCAAATGCAAGAATCGCTAATAGTAGTCTTTACTTTGGATGTGGTTTGTGTGGGATAGACTGGCAGGTAGACAGGTTCCAGTCAGACCAAAGCATGCTGAACCCTTTCAGATGAGAGCACATGGCTCCATGAGTCCACACGCGGCCGAGCCCCTCTTCTGATTCTGATGTTAGATTACAGCCAGGTGCTGTGTTGGGGGGCTCAGATGAAGTGCTTGAAGTCCCTTGGTTTGCTTCCTGTGCCTCTTTCTTGATGAGTCTCCTCTTCCAGCTCCTGTTTGGGGGATTAAAGCAGAGAGGAGGATTCATATCCCAAGGTGTGTGCAAGATCTGCTAGGGTGAAACATATTAAAATATTTGTTTGCATTTTTTATCTATTCTCTTCCACATTCTTTCTTTTAATTTTTAATTTAATTTTTTAAATTTTTATTTTTTGAGTCAGAGTTTCCCTCTGTTGCCTAGGCTGGAGTGCAGGTATGCTCACAGCCACCGCAGCCTTGACCTGCTGGGCTCAGGCGATCCTTCACCTCAGCCCTCCGAGTAGCTGGGATTATAGGCACATGCCACCACACTTGGCTAATTTTGGATTTTTTGATAGAGACGAGATCTCATTATGTTAACTAGAGTGGTCTTGAGCTCCTGGACTTAAGCAATCTTCCCACCCTGGCCTTTCAAAGTGCTGGGATTATAGATATGAGCCACTGTGTCTGGCTGCAGATTCTTTTTAAAATGTATGCTTTATATTGTATTAGTATGATAGTGTATAATTTTTAAATAAATATGCATATATTGTAGTTATGTGCCCAAGTATTTTTTACTTATAATGGGATGCAATCAGAAGTTTCTGAGATTACCTCCAGAAGAAATAGGGAAAAAGCTGCTGAAAGATAGGACAGTTAGGGAGTTTCACAGTCGAGCTCTCTTGCTCCTCCTGGTGTTTGTTGTGACAGTCTAAAGTTAGGTAAGGTGCTGGCCCCACAGCGGCACAGCTGCCTTTACTTAGCCAGCATTGTGCCGCTCACAAAGCCTGGAGGCAGAAGTTGAGGCAACCATTGTGATATACTTCTCTCTGCCTCTCGTGACCTGTATGTTTTCACGCCTGCCACTGGAGCTGGAATGTTTTCTGTGGCTCTGCTGGGACAGTATCTTTTTCCAAAGTTAGATTACTTGGGTTCTCTTTTTGTCCATGCTGAATTTGTCATTGTTTGGCATTGGTCAGCATCAGTATGAGCCTTTATATTCCACACCCTCCAGAAATGTCTGAGTTTCTATTTTCTTGGTGGCAATCTTTCCTATTTTCTAACACCATTAAATGTTTTTTCTTATTTTTAATATGTATATTTTTTGAGTTGGAGTTTCACTCTGTCGCCCAGGCTGGAGTGCAGTGGCTCACTCACGGCCACCCCAGCATTGACCTGCTGGGTTCCGACAATCCTTCTGCCTCAGTCTTCCAAGTAGCTGGAACTACAGACATGCATTACCACGTGCGGCTAATTTTTGATTTATTGTAGAGATGAGGTCTCGCCTAGTTGCCTGGGCTGGTCTCGAACCCACAGGCTCAGGCAGTCCACTCACCTCGGTCTCCCAAAGCGCGGGATTACAGGCTGAGCCACAAGCCCAGCCTGTTTTTGTTTTTTTAAAAAAATCTTAAAACTTTCACAGACAGAAAACTGAGTTCTTCAGGATATTCTCTCTCTTTTAAAAAAAAAAAAAAAGCCAGCCGGGCTTGGTGGCTCAACCTGTAATCCCGTGCCTTTGGGAGGCTGAGGTGAGTGGATTGCCTGAGCCCGCGGTAGCTGGGCAACTTGCGAAACCTCATCTCTACAATAAATCAAAAAAATTAGCCAGACGTGGTAGCACATACCTGTAGTTCCAGCTACATGGAAGGCTGAGGCGGAAGGATCGCCGGAGGGCAGCAGGGCGAGGCTATGGTGGCCGGGAATGGCCACTGCACTCCAGTCTGGGTGACAGAATGAGACTCCAACTCAAAAAAACAAAACAGGAATGTTTATCATTTATGAACTGATGTTGAATTATTTTGTAAGACTTTTTAAATGTTACTGAACTTTCACCTCCCCTGGTTCATGCCCCTCATTTTATTTTAAACAGATTTTTTTTTTTTTTTTTTTTT